TTTCGACCGTATTGGATAATGCGCCGGCGGTCACGGTCAACCGTTGGGCGATCGGAGTGTGCGGTTTTTGGGGCCGACCTTTTCTAACCCGTCCTTTCTCGAGGGAAGGCAGCATCGCTGCTTCCATAAATATGGACATGCTGGTCGCCTGGGGGAAACACCTTACTGCCTTCACACTCCTGTCGCAGAGGACAGTACGACTTTACCCCCAGACCGCCTCGTACCACGATTACTCGTAGTACGTCCCTATTACTTGGTCACACCTTGTCGCAAATTGGTTTCATTTGTTTATGGGTCAGTAGTGCTATAGCGGTGTTTGAGGATAGGTTGCTTTTCTCTATACTTCTTTTGTGGCCCACATACCATAGGGTCATCCCTGTGCAAACGTGGACTTGGTTTGGACGACCCGTTTAGTGATACCGATCTCACTCGTTGGGAGAATTTCTTATCTAACTTTTGTAGCCTCTGTACCTTGTGATTCCCCAGATGCTTAAAGCCTAAAGAGGCTGGTGGTATTCCACATGCGGAACTTCATGTATTTTGTGATGCATTGGAAACTTCATATAGCGTGGTAGCATATGCTCGCTTCACGGTGATTAATGAGGTTTCTAGCTGTTTACTTGTTTTCTCGGAGGCGTGGGTGGCCCCCCTCAAGTCCGTTTCAATACCAAGGTTAGACTTAACAGCAGTGTTTGGCAGTCAAATTAGCACATCTAATTAGGTCGAGTAAAAAAGGGCTACTTCCAGCGTAGTGTGTTTTGGACAGACTCCATGGTAGTTCTCTACTATGTCTCAGCGGATACACGTTACTTCGGCGAGAACAATCCAACCAACGTTGTCTCTCGAGGGACATACAATCTCCGTCTGCTGCGTGGATGATTAGCCGGACCAAGATTTTTACTCGAACTAGAGAGTACTTGGTCTCCATAGCCTCGGTTGACGCAGTCCGAAGGGATCGAATGGAAGAGCTTCGTAGCACATGTTAACCAATTCGAGAGAAATGCTGGTGTGTGCCAACTATTAATCCGGTTTTCCTGTTGGGTGAAGCTGCAGAAGGTTGTAGCTTGGTCACTGCGTTACAACCAATGTGTATTGATTAAAGCAGGTGGGGTGGGGAGAGGGGGCTCTACCCTCCCTGGGATGTGCCTCGTTAAAATGGCCTGTAGTGGTAGTAGATGGTTGTGAGGCGAGCTCAGATGGCTTAGTAAGAACCCTGCATGTTAGAACAGCGATAAACCTTATTAAGAAGGATATTGGAGGGGTATGTTTACCGGAGGGATGTGATTGGACTTGTACTCTATCGAAGCCGACACGGCGGGAGTGGACTTGGACCATTCGTGTCGGTGGTGGATGGGGTACCCTTGAATGGAGCTGAGCATAGGTGAAGTGCTAAAACTGAGACGTCCGTTGAGTCAACGTGGAACAGTTGGCTAGCGGTTTATCCTTCACTACTTTGGCATTTGAAATACCCGACGCTTCTGTCCCTGTCTGTAATCCTTGCTCCACTTTTGTGTTTAGTGCGTGCGCATGAACTGGCGTTTGTTTGTCCCTACCAGTTCAGTCATTTGACCTCGAGGTCATCCAGCTAACCTTATGCACGTGTGACTGTCTCACGTGGGAGCCTGTTTGCTCATTTGGTTGGAACTTTTGTAGTCCAAGTGGGACATTTGTTCTGGACGTGTATCTACTGTCGAGGTTTGTATATTTTGTGAATTGATGCTTTTCATCAGTAGTACCGCACGGAAACCCAGCTCCGACTTTGTTTTGCCCTCCCGGAGGTTCTGGTATTACGTGTCACTCGAGGATACCGTTTGGCTGTTACAGCCGTACTGCCGTTCAACATGTTTTGCGTCCCAGGATTTATGTGTAACCAGGCCGTTCTTGTGGATAAGTTTGGAAAATAGTCTTTAAGGATATTTTATTTCGCCCCACGAAACAATGCTCAGCTATCCATTTCAGCTCTGTAGGTACTCTACGCTTTTGCAGTGAATTACAATGATAGGTTTATTTGTCTGCTCAAGCAAGTGATTGTCACTGGCGTTTTCACTTCCGAATCTGAGCTATCGGTTCTACAGGACCATCATGAAGTACCGTGAGTTTCGGCCCGTGTTCTGCCAGTTTATTTCCTCGACTTGGGGAACCTCTTCAGGGTAACCGGACGCCAGAGCTTTGTGCGCTCAAGCTTCTGAAGTGTCGATTTTGCGTCAGTTTGGTATTGCGCATTTTATCAATTTTGCTTTCATATTGCAATCCACTTTTTGAATTAGAAACTGTTGAAGGAGGAATGGCCCTTATGCACGAAGCTAGTAAGGTTGCAGACAAACACAAACGTTGACCTCACTCTCAACCTCAATGATTGCGAGTGAACGTTGGGCCACCGAAACAACTGAACATCCTTTGTTTTACTTCATCTATGACGTGCGGTCATTTACCTAGTCGTTTAAGCTAATATCGTTCATTTGGACATTAGGTAATTACAACCACTGCCCCTCTCGTTGTTTTTTCATTATACACAGCTGCTACTTGTGCTCAATCAGAATAATTGTCACCAGATCTTGCGCAGTCTGTTAGAAAGGTTTGTGATCGTTTGTTGTTCCTGTTAGTGCGCATACTTGCCGGATTCAAATTATAGCGTTCCTGTTTCTCGTTTTTCCTTGCGTTTCGTCCGTCTTCTCTTCTGCGATTCAAATCTCACGATTCAGTTTATCTGATCACATTTTTTGTAGCCAATCAACACAGAGCCAACCACCATCCAGAGCAGACAGTCAGTCCAGCTCATGCCTAATCAAGAATTCTCCAGCAGCTCATCTCATTCGACCACAGGCTCCGTCAGATTTAACCCTGGCTTTTATCCCGTCTCCGCGACTGTAGGTGAAACCAACAGGCACGATGCGCCATCTCTTATTTCCTGCGACGACGAGGAGACCGATGATTTTGAATTGAAGACTGTTGGTAACAAAGTGTTTTGTGAAGTGTCTTCAGATCCTGCGTTTACTTCACGTATTCCATCCAGCTCCTCCGATGGAAATCTTTCTACCACAGTTTATCGCCCGACAGTCGAGATACCTTATCTCTGTGGTAACCCACCAGTGTTAAACCCAATCCGTACCTACAAACCAGCCTGGTCACATGTTCGGCCATTTTTTTCGACTTCAGGCCACACATCATCCCTGGCCTCCCCGTTGACAACATCCGGACTCACTGTCTTACGCGGACTTCCTACTGTCGCACGTCCTGCCTGTAAGTTCAGTTTGTGCATTACCTGCCGAAGTCTCATATTCATTCAAAGGATTCTAAGTTGCAGTTGTCCACATAGTCACCTCTCTGGCGTGAACTGTGTGCGTTGCTTATCGGTTCTTCTAGAAACATCTAACTTCTGTAGTCGGTTTTTGTATTCATTGACTTTTCATTATGAATTTATTGGAGTCCTATAGCGAAAAACAGCAGTTGGACATTCGTCACGCGCTGTTACTCTACCTTCTAAGTGCGTTAGCAGTTTGGTTCAGCCAACGAGATTTTACTGCAAACTGTTTTCGGTCGCTTTGCTGTCCGTTCTTTTCCAACTGCACACTCGTCACCGTGTTTTGAGCATTGGTCTATAGACGGCACATGTTTCAAGTCACTCTCATTTCCAGTCAGCTTTTTGCTGCTGAAGCTGCTCCAGTCGAATGAAAACCAATCGAACTTCATTAGTCCTTCCAGCGAAGAGATACTTCCAGCATCCCCCACTACCGAGATCTATGGCTTAGCTTATTTTAGCATCAATCAAGTGGTCGCGTAACTGTACGAATGATAGATTTGCGACTATAAATTCAGGATTTTCTGTAAAATTCTGTAAGAAAATTTGATCAATCAACCCAATGCCATGGTATGAAACTAAACTCTGAAGGAAGAGTAACCCATTTCCTGTGCCAGGTCCAAGATCCAACAGGAAGCAATTCTACCCGAGGTAATTCGGTATGAGATCTCATCCGAGTAACGTCATAATTCAGAAATAGAAGTTTCAGTCTATTTCAGTTACTATAAAACCGTGTGTTACGGGTACAGTACCTCTAGTCGCTATACTTTTTTTCATCGAGAAATAGAGGAATAAGGATGGGTTACTGCAGTGTATTGGAGTCGCTTACATAACAAGTTCTTGTCTGCCTAATTGTTCTTATGAAGTGTGACAGCCGCGGATTGTTGGCGATAGCTTGATCCAGGAGTGCGGTTGTCTGTGACTGGGTTGTCTCTGTCAGTCCCTATAGGCATTGGTTTATTGTTTCACCGGGATTCCTATCCGATTAGGCGGCAGTTAGGTCGACTGTGTTCACTTCTAGATCATGAACCGTTCACCTGGTCCGTACCAGCACATTGTTGATCAAAAAGTGTTGTGCGAGATACACATGCGAACACATATTACAGTGGACGGGCTTCTGTCCCACAGGCTTTCCGCTTACCTGTTTGTGTCTAGAAGTTTGGCTGCGGATCCCCTATTTTCTGTGCAACATGGGTTATACCTTAGTATGTTCGGAAAATGGTCAGCGCTCCCTGATGTTATCCCAGTTGTGAAGCTAGTTCTTTTTCCACCGGTCCGAAAAATGTGATGAAACCAAGTTGTGGACAAATAGCTTACTAAAGGGAGAATAGCTCTTCAACATCTTCAGAGGGGAGTTTGTGGTATCGACTTTTTATGAATCCATCCACGTGTCTAGAGCGAACAAAGACGATGTTACAGTTGTTACGAACCGGAAGGAATATGCCACACTTAGATCACACAAAAAGGTAGGAACACAGCGAAGTCTTCTCGTGTTCTACAAGTCTAAACTAAGCTTGAACACATTTCTACGTGCACTGAAGCGTAGATTTGGTCAGTCACTGTGGTTCGCCTTTGCTCCAAAAAAACGATCGATTAGGTCGGTCTGTAGAACGGGCCTCCCACTTGTTCGCTGCACCACCCGTGCTACTTACGACCTTTCAGAGTATCCCGCAAGCATTTTCGAAGCTTATCGATGGATTGCACGAATTTACTCAGATGACGTCGACTTCATTAAGATCCTGAATTCCGTCTCTCACTGGGGACGAGGTGATCGCAAGTTTCATGCGAATTCGCTTTCTATTAGGATAATAGCTCAAGAATGCTTAGTGATCTAGTTCTCCATTTTAAATAATCGTGTTTCTTTAGAAAACAAGAGTTCGCCGTCGCCAGCTGACATCATTAAAGGTGTCGAGCTTCGCCTAACAACCGCATTTTTACCTTCTCAAATATTCCCTACTAAAAACTAATGCTGTTGCTACGGCGTCTTTTCTGTCATGCGTGGTCGCTAACACCGAGACGAGAGCGTTAAAAAAACTGTCCATTCTTACATTTTCGGCTCCGCCACGTGAATGCATTTGCAGTCACATTGCGAAGGAAACCTTTTTAGCATACCTGAACAGCATCAAGTTCACTATGGAAAATAATCATAGGACCATTGGTTTCTTGGACTGGTAAATAACATAAAGAAAGTCATGCTTTTGCTTTAGATATTTACGGAACCTTTCATACAAATGGCTACATTGTGTATCCGCCCATCCGCACTTCATTAAACGTGCCTTTGTAGCAACTATCTGAGATGGGGTCGATAAACCATGTTCATGAAGGGTGTTCTTCAAATAAAAAACAACAGTCTCTTACTAGTTCAGTGTCCTAGAGGCACTGTGCTGCGATCTTTTGTATCACCCGCGTCAACGTCAGATGTTATGCCAAGAGTTACAAAAGACTAAGAGATTGATAGATTCTGTACTGTGGACAATATGGTCCCATGACACCTTGCTTGACAAAGGATCCCGTTGAGCCAAAGCACCACACTAATTGCGTTAACCAAATCAGATGCGTAGTTTTGTAGGCATGTGCAAACAGAACAGTGCGGCTCGAGTGGACGATTCACCAGTGAATGATCAAATATCAACCTTAGTGTTGACACTGATGCTTCACTGCCGTACAACCAAAAAATCTTATTATCCTCAAAGATTTAAAGTGAAAAGTGAAAAGAGAGCTTTATAGAAGGATTTGATGCTGACCCATCACAAACATCCTTAGGGGCCTACACCTCCAAACGTTTACTCAGACAATCTGCAAAGAAACCAACAGCACGAACACCGATGAGATCGATTGGTTGCTATTTCGTGCGTAAAAGGGGTCACGAGAACCCCGTCCTGGAAGACAGTCCACACTAAAATCCAAACTCGACGTAATTTTTTTCATACCCTTTACAAAATCATACGTCGTCCACTTTCGTAGTAATAGTATTTTTCTCAGCTTAGTTCTCAATCTCAGCCTTCCAAGCTAGGGTTCACGTAAAAAAAAACCACCAAAGGTGCCCGAAACGAAGTCAGGAACATCTGGCTGTTGGGTTCAAACTTTCGACCAGTCAGATCTCGGCTTGATGCTGGACCGGCAAGCGTCCCGAATTTTTGGCCAATTTTGCGTGGGACAAGCTTCTCGACCGCAGCATCACCTGGCTGCGAGCGGTAAAGCGGGATCCGTGTTGAATTTCGCCCAACAACTTCGCAGTTTGCGACATTTCGAAGGAGGCAATGAGAGCAACGCTCGTCTCGGTACACATGGCCGGGCAACGACAGTTGATGTTGCTGGATGTTTTACGCGACTGAAGTGCGTGCTGCACAACCAGATACCCGTTTTCTAATTACCTCGCTATGGATCCGTTAGAGTCATCCAACAGCAGCAACGTTTCTCAGGCGTCGGTGCTCAAAAGGCTGGAAGTACCTCACATCATCTGTCCACAGAAGCTCTGTCTCTCAACCATGCACCAATAAAGCCCTTACTGTAGCCTTGTATACGCAAGCCTCGGGGCCCAGTGAATATACCTTTTTGACGCACAAGTGACGCAAATTAACAAACGTGATTCGGGCCTCCGAGATTCATGTACGGACACAGTTCCGTCGGAGCAAATGCAACTACTAGGTGCGAAAATGTTCCGCAACTTCCAGTGTTTCTCCTTCAGTTGCAAGGAGCTTGTCTACGGACTGCAAGTTCTAGAGCATGACTGCTTCTTTAACGGTTCAAGGCGCATGTCGGAAGATGGTATGATAGCGGTCATTTTTTTTCAACAGAGCTTGGGCTTGGGCCTCGCGTTCAAAGGTGACGATGTCGTCTACGCACTCCAGATCCACAAGATTCTCACCAGCAACGAAATGAAGACTGTCCAATACCCTCATTATTTCATCGATGATGAACTTGAACAAGAATGGGGAGAGTGGGCATCCTTTTCGGGCACCACTTTTTGTAGGGAAGATTTTGGGGAGCTCACCACACAGCCCCAGAAGTATGTGATTATAGGAACCGGATTATGTTCACAAACTTTTGGGGCATCCCTTGTTGAGCAAGTGTAGTCAAGGTCACTTGCCGACTAACAGAATTGAATGCACCCTCGATGTCAAGGAACACCAAGATTGTGGGTCATCTGTATATATGGCGCAGTTTTAACACGGAGTGTGAAGATGTGGTCGACACAGCATCTACGCATTGAAAATTTCACTTGATTCTCACCGGTCAGGGTTTCGCGTGCCACATAATACGATATAGAATCGGTAACATCATAAACCCGTTACAACGAGTGTCAAACTAACTTCCCCGTAGTTACTACATTCACTGCGTGTGCCAATTTAAAGATGAGCACCATTATCGACTCACCCCATTGTCCTGGACGCTCTTTTCATTCCAAGTCCACGCACATAGCAGGTGAAAGGTCGTCAGGACCAGAAGCATGATAACCTAAAGTAGAGCTTTGCACTCGGACACCTCTCAGGCCGCGTTTCTGTTAAAGGCTGACGCAGGTGAAAGTCAGGACCAGAAGCATGATAACCTAAAGTAGAGCTTTGCACTCGGACACCTCTCAGGCCGCGTTTCTGTTAAAGGCTGACGGTCTGGATTAGGGGTAGTGGATAACCAGCTGAACTGTTGTCCGAAGTATTGTGCCCAACGGATTCCCTTCGTTGGATTTCAGGGTCCCTGACGATTTTGTTGACAAAAGGCATCGAGAACCAGTCGAATCAAGTGGAATAACCTGCGGGCTTTTCCAGGATTTTTTTCATATTCCATTTCTTCGGCCTTTTGGATCCACGAGGCTTTCCTGTCTGCACGGACACTCAGTTTCAGCCGTTGTCGGATGTTGTATCGGTTTGAGTTCTAGTCGCAACCAGAAGGGGTTTGTCACCGGGCCTCTAGCAAAGCCACAATCCTGTCAGGGTTCCAGTGCGTAAATGAGGTTGGTTGGGCTGTACAACAGACATGTTCCCGCTTTGAGTAGTGTTTTGGATATCTGTCTCTAGTGACCGTTGATGCCCGAAATCTTGCCATCCGACAGGCGTTCGAGGAACCGATTGCGATAGGTTTGTTTGATTTCTGAGTCAACGAGTTTCTCAGTGGCCACGCGAGTTGGACATGTTTTGAAAAGCGCGATGGAAAGCGAGAGCGTAAAAGTGAGCGCTCGGAGACCACGCAGTTATTCTGAAAGGAGAGACAGACAGTGATCGACCCTCGCTGCCAACACCTGGTGGCAATCTTATCCGTTTGATTTCGAAGCTGGTTGGTTGGTAGGCACCGCCTTCTCAAGCGATTTCTGCTGTTACAGAAATTGGTACTGCACTACAGTCCGTGATCGGCACACATCTGCAGCAGATGCTCTCTGTTCTCCATGCGCTTCGTGTACGACCCAAGACGACCACCCATTTACACCTAAGTATCACTAAACCTACCTACCCTAGCGTTCATGTTGGCAGCAACCGGAGCGATGTCTGAGCCCCCGACCGGTTTTGAAAGAGCAGCTAGAGCATCATAGAAACTGTCATTACCAGACCCAGAGATACATTCTGGTGGGATGCAAGCAGACAGGGTAAACAATGAGTGATGGACCCCGCTTCCTCGTGATTATTTCATACACCTTGCCAAACAATCCGCGCAGAGGCGACCGTCAGCGGGTAGCCAATCGAATAGAGACGCTTCTGCTCAGTGACCGTTTCATATGCGAACCCTAAAGGCAGCTATTTTCGAGGTTTGAAACAGACTTCGAGGTGTGTAGGGCTTTGTAGTGATGTTAGACGCACATAGGATGCAGCTGGTCGCGTTGTATGGCGAACAAAGCGGTCTGTTCTGGTTCTGGGACGTGTGGAGAAAGTACTCAGTTGTGGTGGGATAGCGTAGAACAGGGAATACAGACTAACTGCCCTGACTTATGTAACAAGTAAGATGACAACACGCGACGGCTGAGGTGACGTGATATTTTTGGTTGTGATGCTCATAGTTGAATGTGGGCTAGGATATTGTCAGGGTGCCCAAACCTAGACAGATGATGATTAGCGTCATCAAGTAAGGTCTTTGTTCAAAAGGCTGTTTGTTCATCTTGCCTCCTTACACCCCAACCTGCGGTAGCTATTTCACCATCGAAGATAGGTTTTATGATAATTTGGATGCCTTTTCAATTCGAGCTAAAAGCTCAAATGTTGTGTTGGCTACCGGAGATATGATTGCACATGCTTAGCGCATTTGAGACTCACTTGAGTGGTCGACATGGATTGGACTCAGTGTGTGCGAACAATGGGGAACGATTGTTTCAGCTATATGTTGACCACGGGCTGTTTTTATGCGGCTCCCACTTCCGAACTAACGGATATCGTCTGCCCAGATGGTATCCTCCAACAACGTGCCAGCGATGAACCCAACTTGATCACATCGCCATCAAATTCCGATTGCACACATCAATAACTGACTGCTGCTCATTTTGGAACATATCAGTACATTCCGACCATGCGCTCATCAGGAGTCAAGGATCAAATAAGCACGGCCGTCGTGAATAAAGAACGCCCCTACCGCTAGGCCGAGCACTTTAAACAACAATTCTCGCGGCCACTCGCTATCCTCATTTGGATCCTAAACATGAAGTAGAACCCTTGGCGGGGAACATTAAAAGCTCTATTACCTCAAATGTTTATAACTTCATGCGTTCTTTCAAGCGCCACCGAGCTGTTGGTTTGGATGACTCCTGACTCATATTGTTCAAACATGGCGGTGAAATCCTCAGTCTGTCTAATCTCTTTGCCTTCATTTAGGAAATGAGTGTCCGTCAGAAAACTGGGGAAAATCACTGATAGTGCCCCATACCAAACGGCCCATAGCGAGTGCGGTAATCACAAGAGGATAGCTTGCACCGTCGTAGCCGCACTCTTGGCGTCAATGGCGTTTCGAATTTCGTAATCTGAAAAGCACTGACTCCTGTACAGCAAGTGTGATTTTGGCCCGGTGAAAGTTGCGTTGAGCAAATATTCACACCCCATCACGTGCTAGAACAAAACGGCACACAATTTTGATGTTCTTGCATTTTCAAGGCTCTTACGACACTTCCACCGAAGGAAATGCCCCTGAATCGTGTGAACATTCCATGTTCGTTGTATTCTGTGACTTCCGAGCCCGTGAGAGTATACAGAGAGCTCTCAAAAGCTTCCGTACGCATATTTTGTCACGGATCCCCATTCTGTCCATTCCCATTTAATTTTGTGACCGATCAGATAATCAGACGAAGGCTAAAAGGTCTTCAAAGTCCCGACGTTTAAACAGCTGCTGACAAAAATCTTGCGCAGACAGCATCGACGATGAGAAAGCACATGGGTTTTTGAATGAACTGACCAAAATCAAACCCTCCCTTGCCATGGACTTTACACACACACACACAGTGTAAGGTCATGCTCCTGGAAGTGCAGCCACCGAACACGCCACTTACAATCCAGGGAGAGGCGCTCGAAGTTTCGGAGCATCTTATGTATCTGGGATGCTGTATTGGTTCTGACCATGGAGGTCAATGCACGAACCTGCAAGGCTCGGGTCACCCTTGGTAATTTGAGACACCTATGGCGTCAAAGCGACACCCCTGAATCTCAAGGGACATGTGTATAAGGCTACGCTGCGCGCTGTTTTGTTGTATGGCCGTGAGACTTGGCCTGTTCGAGCAGCGGAACTGAGACCTCTCCAGGTGTTCGACAATTGCTGCCTCGGAAGCATAGCTCGTGTGGGTTGTTGCCGGCGAATTCATAATGAAGCAATTAGAAAGCGTGTTTTCGGTTATGCGGCGGGTACTTCTATCGAAGAATTTGTCCAGCACCACAAGCCGCGTTGGTTAGGCCACGTACTGCGTATGTCATGCCCGATTCAGTGTGGCGGAAGCAGAGAGGTGGTCAATCCTTGACCTGTCAGATGGGTATAAAAGGGATTACGAAGAGTTTGTGTGCTATCGGTGTGACTAGCCTTCCAGGTTCCCCACTGTGTCTGGTCAGAGACGCTGCAAGATATGACTGGTAGTCGATGTCAATGGTGTCCTTGTTGTCAGTTTCTATCCAGATTGCCCTAAATGAGTATTTCTAGGTGTAGGCAACCCGGATTGAGTTTGGTAGAGTGTAAGTTCCTTCTCCATCCACTGTCATGGTTTTTCTGCACAAGTGGGGGGATCTCAAACAAATCATGGTTGTGCGGCAGCGAAGCGTCGGTGTTGGACATCGATATAGTGCTTGCGATGATTGTTGCATACTGTAGTACAGTTTTGTTAAGGAATACATCGTCGTGCATTTTCCAACGTTCAGTCTGGTGGATCAAGAGACTATGTTAATCAGACCTCTATTCAACGACCAGCCGGATGAGAAATTCTGCGGTCATAGCAGTGTCAAAGTGCGTCTCACCTTACCGGTAATGCCAATAGGCGGATCCTTGTCTGTCACCACAGTGTGTTGAACTCATGCGTCAGCTTACCACAGACACGTCCGCACTCACAGGAGTGAGCATACAGTGCCTTGACAGGAGACAAGATTACAGTTAAAATACCTTTAGTCGCTGGACACTGACACAGTTTCGGATGATTGACGGTTTTCAGACCAGGGGGAGCGGGCATGTTGGTCGTTGGAAAGAAAAGCTCTCTTGTGCCCCCCAACTCAAGGCGGAGCTTAGGGAAAACGCTTACTTGGTCAAGGCCAAATCCAGGTTGCTTCTCATTATTCGGTCTTCCGGTTATCGGTCAAGCTGTATGTGTAATGCCAGCGAGCACTGGCCCCCGCACTATGGAGGCTACGATAATTTTCATACAATAATAATAATAGTTGCAAAACTGAGAGCTTCCAGTTTCGGTTGTTGTTTCAATACAAACTGTTTTTGGTTGCCTCACTGGTGTTTGTTAACGTTATTTGCTTGCTTGTTTTGACTTAAATCTTTCTCCAAAATGCACGATCTCCATTCATATATAACCTCACCTTCGCGGAAGTGCTCGCAAAATCTGACTTCAATATCAACTATTGACAAAACCTCTTGCATGAGCATTCAAAAACCACGCTGGCAGTTTCCGTGAGTATTTCGCTTATCATAATAGACAACCTTTCTGATCTCATCATCATCATCATCGACAGCATGACATCAGTGTTCAACACCGATGCTTCATTACCTTTCTGATCTACATCATCTTGAGTCGAATAGACTCCAGTTTGTCTTGTTTTACCATTATTTTTTCGAACAATTCATCACAAGGAGTCTTACGAGTTTGTTGCTTAAACTTTTATTTTGTTAATTTGTTACAGTTGATTCTTGCACTCCGAACCAAGTGGCGACTCGCGTTGTTGTCCAAGAACCCACTATCATGAGCCGATTTGGAGAAGTAGCTGCGGCCATTTGTGAGGCCGGTCGGACACCGTCACCTCTGAGCTCTGGAGCGACAGCGATTTCAACATTCAGCAGCAGTGCTACCAGCTTGTCACAGACTTTCAGTGTGTCCGACTTGAGCAACTCTACTGGACTACCAATTGTTGGCTGCCCGAACAAACGCACCGTCGTGCACAAGTATCATTCTTTCCGTAAAATCCTCCCTAAATCTCCGGAGCCGTCCGGTTTACTATGTCCTCCAACGGCCCCGAATTCTACTTTTGTGAATGTCACTCCGATTTCTCTTCATTCCCCATGCTTAACACAACTGCCAGTGGTTACAAGTGTGTACAGAAATGCTCTGACTCCCCAACCTACGGCGATTCCGTGCGATGCTTCAAATCAGGCGGCCTATTTCCTGGATGTGTCATCTAATGTATCCGTTGGGCGCATGAAATCAGCGGAATGTGGGCCTTCGGGCTTTGGTGTGGCTCCAAATCCGGCTTCTCAGTTACTCAAGAGTTTGTTGGAAAGCAGCGATTCTAAAGAACAAGGTACCACACAAACAGTACCGACATCGAGTACGGCATCTGTGTCCTCCACTACCCAGGTTACTTCCAGTGCGTCGATGGTGTGGAATCAACCAGCACATCAAAGTCGGGGCACGTGGCAACTCGGGAAACGAGCTACATGCACTCCAACCCAGCGAGGATCATCCGACACGGCCAACCTTGCTGCACCGCGATCATCCATAACGTCCTCGATTTCTCGTAGTCTCTCTGCCACTTCTATATCCTCCACCGAAACCCGAAGTTCTCCCAGTCTACTTCCCCCAACTGTCATTAGAACTTCTGGACCAACATCTAGATTGCAGCAGATGCAGCAATACCACCAAAGAAGACAACAATTGCTCGCTCAGCGGCAAGCTCAAAAACACATAGAACAGGAATCAGCCGTCCGTGGGGACTAAAACGAACTTTCTTCCGGGACCTAATCTATGCTTCGGTATGGTCCCGTGTTCCACTCCGCAGCTAACTCGCCTGTACTTCAGTTACCCCAACAAACGTCAGGAGCCTTGGTGTCTTATGCTTCTGGTGATTGTGTCATGTGAGAGTTCAACGTGCTGCCTATACGCTTTATTGGTGGTGTATGTACATATATGAGTTACCTTTGCTGTCCCTGTGTACACATGAACCCGTTCTCCCAGCACAATGCGATTCGTGAAACCCGTTTGTTTCAGTGCGTTTTCTTCATACACACATTTATCACGAGATCATTTTTGGTCTGTTTCCTATCATCCTTCTGCGTTCACCCGTGTTCCTCCATACTGTTCACTTATTTGCCTCTGCAGATCATGGGGTTCGCGATTGTCTGCTTCCATTAACTGTTTGCCTAACTGCAGTGTCGTTATCTACGATTAACTTTGTCTTTTTTCACGAACACCGCTGATGTATCGATTTCCGATCACACGTTACTGATCTGCCCGGATCAGATTGCTCTTTTTCTGCTGCGGATGCTTACTCTTGTGGTATTACACCTTACTCTGCTACCGTTTTTTCCAGGAAGCGGGGTTAGAGTGGGGTATTTTCACGAACTTACTTTTTACTACCCGATTAGTAGTGAGAAAAAGGCCTACCCTGTTTTCGCCCTCTATTTTCATTCGCGACATTTTGTGGAATACACTGATTACCTCATCCAAACTGCTTCCCTTCCTTGTGCTCCATCACCATGATCAAAAGAACTTTTTGGTTATGTTGTGATTTTAACGAGACTCAGTACTGTACTTTAGAGTGGGTTTTGAGGAGCCTTTATCTTATGAAACGGTTGGGTGTGGAACAGAGTACCACGTGTATATGAAATCAATGTAACTGTGCCCCAGATATACTTAATTGCCTGTGTCTATAACAACGTCCCTATCCTGTACCGAACCTGAATGTCACTCCTCTCTAATGGACAGATAGTCGTCTGTTGTGCTGCTCAATTGCTTACTTCCAATAGGGGCGTAGCCCTTTGTAAATGGAGGCTTGTACCATAAGGGGGAAGCCTTTTTCGGGTTACTTTTCGAGTCAACCATTGTTCGCGAACATGTGCAGTTGAGGGTGAGAGTCATTCGCATTCCCCCATTTTACGGCAACTTGCTCTTCATCTGGAGCAGATCTTCAAAACCCACACCATCCGGTAGAGCGCAACATTTCCCACGAGAGAGTCGCATACACGCTAATTGGGACGGGTGTAAGAAATTTTTCGTCGGGGTTAACATTGACCACGAAATGTACTATTGCTTCTAGACATATCCAATTAGCCGAATCGCTCGATTTTCTTCATAAAGTATAAACCACTCATTTTGGAGGGTACCGTGGCGGCTCATGCGAATCACAGTACGTTCAACTTCAATTCAGTCACGTCAGATTCCAAAACAGGTCAGAAACGACCCGGACATCATTTGAAGTTCAAAACTCAAGGTGACGGATAGATTTGTTCCACAGATTAATGCCCTTATGTTCTCAAGACAGGCTTTCGGCAACTTAGTGAACACCGGTTCTTGCTTGTTCTGATTGACCGTATATCCAAGCTTCTTGGATTCATCCTTGAGTCGGAGTACTCCAGGCATAATTATGAAGTGGTAGTACACTAAGCGTCACCTTTTTCTCTTGTTTTCTGTGCCGGTTTCTTTCGCCTCTGCAAGGTTGTTATTATTGGTTTTGTGTCTTGCTGAACTGTCATGCAACTGTGTCTGTTCTTGGCTTCCTGCTCCGCCCACGATGGTATACCAGAGGGCACGGTAGCTTGAGACAGCCCTTTGTGGAGACAAAGGAAGATTATTACATCTGAATTTATGGGCTGATCACAGAATGTGGTGCTCGAATCTCCGTGAGGGGGGCGGGAAGTGTCGAGCTAAAGATGCTCCATACAGATTGGCTGGCATTCTGACCAATCGTTTGGTCTGTAGCCCGCACAAGACATCCGTCCAGTTGACATGCCGTTCGGTTATTAGAGGTGGCTGGCCTCCGGAAAATTAGTGTGGACCTCGGATGATACCAACCAACACCTTTTATATCAGAAGACTTCATCATATAACACAGGGGAAGTTTGACATGAGTGAAACCTATTTGCTTCACACTTAGCATTGGCGGCAGCGTTTTTGCCTACTCGCTCTGACTTCTACCGGAATCCTGGTATTCAGTCACGCGTAGATAGTTGGTTCTAACCGAAACTATGTCGACCCCAAGTCCAACATTACCATAGCATGACACGCTGTACCGTACCATGAATAGTACGACCTTCAAGAAACGGTGCATCGAAACCGTTCACACGACAAGCAATTAACTGGAAGTGTCCGGTGGTCCCCGGAAGTCTAACGAACCACTGGAGACGTGCCGCAATTGGTTCGGGCACATGAGATTAGGCATAGTACACTGAATTTTATGACATCAGGAAGTCTGGCTAGTTCATCGATCCGGCGGTGCACATCCTTTAGTTGACTAGTCTCGTCAGCAATAATGAGGGATGAGGACAAAAAAATAAAAGAAGACGAATAAGACAAATAAAACCATATCATCGACAGCATGACATGGGTGCTGAACACTGATTCTTCACTGCCGTACAACAGTAATTTATTTGAAGGACCTTTTGTGAAGAAAAGGATAATGGCGGGAGGAGAAGGGAATTAGTGCTAGGTTACCACAATCATTCCGAGGTGTCTACACCTAGAAAAGAAATACTCGGGCAATCTGGATAGAAACTGACAACAAGGACACCATTGACATCGACTACCAGTCATACCTTGCAGCGTCTCTGACCAGACCAGACGGGGAACCTGGAAGGCTAGTCACACCGATAGCACACAAACTCTTCGTAATCCCTTTTATACCCATCTGACAGGTCAAGGATTGACCACCTCTCTGCTTCCGCCACACTGAATCGGGCATGACATACGCAGTACGTGGCCTAACCAACGCGGCTTGTGGTGCTGGACAAATTCTTCGATAGAAGTACCCGCCGCATAACCGAAAACACGCTTTCTAATTGCTTCATTATGAATTCGCCGGCAACAACCCACACGAGCTATGCTTCCGAGGCAGCAATTGTCGAACACCTGGAGAGGTCTCAGTTCCGCTGCTCGAACAGGCCAAGTCTCACGGCCATACAACAAAACAGCGCGCAGCGTAGCCTTATACACATGTCCCTTGAGATTCAGGGGTGTCGCTTTGACGCCATAGGTGTCTCAAATTACCAAGGGTGACCCGAGCCTTGCAGGTTCGTGCATTGACCTCCATGGTCAGAACCAATACAGCATCCCAGATACATAAGATGCTCCGAAACTTCGAGCGCCTCTCCCTGGATTGTAAGTGGCGTGTTCGGTGGCTGCACTTCCAGGAGCATGACCTTACACTGTGTGTGTGTGTGTAAAGTCCATGGCAAGGGAGGGTTTGATTTCGGTCATTTCATCCAAAAACCCATGTGCTTTCTCATCGTCGATAGCGAGAACGATGCCGTATTTATAATCCAGTTGCACGATATTTTCGGCAGCAGCTATCTAAACACCGGGACTTTGAAGACCTTTTAGCCTTCGTCTTGTTATCTGATCGATCACAAGATTAGACAGGAATGCATAGATTGGGCACCCGTGACAAACTATGCGTGCGGAAGCTTTTGTATAGCTCTCTGTATACTCTCACAATTCAGGAAGTCTTAGAATACAACGAACACGTAGTGTTCACACAATTCAGGAGCATTAACTCGGGTGCAAGCGTCGAAAAAGCCTTGAAAATTCAAGAACAACAAAATTGTATGGCGTTTTGACCTATCACGTAAGGGGATGTGTGTACGCAAGCTTTTGCCTAGCTTTCCTTCTTTACTCTCACATCTGGAAGTCCGAGAATTGGAAGAACCTTCTGTACTCACGAAATTCCGGGACACTTATTGGTCGACAAGCGTGTTAAGGAGAACAGACTGGTTAGCCTAGTCGAATGCGGCAGTACTACTAAAATTGTGGGTCGTTTGTATTTATGACGTTGTTCGGACACCTGATGTTGTGAATATTTGGTCAACGCGACCCCTGCCTAACCGAAATCCCGCTTCCTACTCTCGAGTAAGTGTTTCATGAGCCAACATAGGGCGATGAAGCACAGTCGACGCCCATAGGTCAAGCTGGTCCTCAAGGGGTTACCATCCCGCTTTTGGAAGGGGGCACTATCACTGACTCTTCCCAGTTGTATGGGAGTCTCCTTTTTCCAAATGCAGGCAAGCAGTTCAAACAAGCGGTACCTTGGGACTTTAACCCCATCGTTGAACAATACGGGTGGGATGTCTTCGTGACCAGAAGTTTGGTGGGGCTTTGGGGGACATATCTAAATAAAAAAAGACCTAGGCCGTTAGGGAATTCCTCATTCGCCGTCCTGGTTTCTGCATCAGCTGTGGGTTCCAAATGAGTGGCAGCTGGTGGTCACGATAATTCTTGTCCAAAGTATTCGGTCCAACAGTCGTGGCATTCTTTATTCATGGTGATCGATCAATTCTGATCCTTGATGGTTTCGTTCATAGTTGGTTTTCAGGGCCCAGTCGAGCTGACCAACTAAAATAATCTTCGGACATTCCCGGCTTTCTGGACCTCTTCCATTCCCCTGGCTTTTCGTGTCCACCGGACTTCATGGTCGGCTCGCACACTCACTTTCACTTGGCTTCCGGCGATTCATCGTATCTAGTTATTTTGAGGACCGGCTGGAATATTCCTCTGAGATTTAATCGGTACCACTGTTCGGTCTGATATCCAGTGCTTTTTTAGGCCTAGTAGCACCGTGCCACAAGCACCCAGCACTGTTCAAATAGGTCCCTAGTGTGAATTCACGTCTGATGGTGGGCATTCAGAGGAGACTCTAGATGGGAATTCTGACAAATTCGTCTAACACGCGGATCTACCAGTCTCCCAGTTGCTAGACGATTTTTCCACACCTTAACCGGCCTGGAAAACGAAAGGAGAAGCTACTCCGGACGAGCGCTTGATCGTAATACACAAATGTGTTTTCTATAGAGGAAAATGTTGGTAGCTCAGGTATCGTAGATGGTGGTCGTTGGCTTGTTCGCTGAGATGGGCAATTTGATTGCAAACGTTTCATCACCAATCGAGGTGACATCATCAGTGCGTTATTGTGGAGCGTAGTAGTGCGTAGCGGTGGGTTGGTGGTTGTGCGTTCTCCCACCCACCGCTACGCACTACTACGCTCCACAATAACGCACTGATGATGTCACCTCGATTGGTGATGAAACGTTTGCAATCAAATTGCCCAGCTCAGCGAACAAGCCAACACACAAATATGTCCCAAAGCGAGTGGCAGTCAGTCATTGTTCCGCACTATCGGTAACTTATGGCAATGTGATCACTTTGAGTTCGTAGCTGGCACGCCGTTGGAGGATACCATGAAGCCAGACTACTTCGGCTAGTTCGGATGTTAGGGCTGGATAAAAGCAGCCTGTTGTGAGCATACAGCTACAATAGTCGTTCACCATTGTCCGTTCGTACCGAGTCCAATCCATGTGGACCACCTAATTGATTCTCAAATAAGATAAGTCTGCCCACTTGTGCATTCAGATTTCCGGCAACCACTACAATATCTGAGCTTCTGGCTCGCCGCAACAGAGCATTCAGGGCGTCTTTGGATGTTCTTTCTGAGCTACA